GGCACTGAACAAAGGAATTGTATTGTATGTTCTTTTTTCAAGGAGTTTTGAGTTAAACTTATACTAAATATAGTCTTCCTATATAGCACATGCAACTAAAAGCTCAAATTGGAGTTCTTAAAATATTTCATTGTAAAAACAGTATATTTCATTGTTCTGTGGAGAAAATTTGCAATCTCAAAACACACAAGTATGTACCAGCAGTTGTGCATGTATGTTTATGGAATAAAGTGAGTTAAAACATCACTCATAATTTTAGTGGAAAACTCACCCATGAACCTGCGGCAGCATTAATCTGGGCAATAAATCATAAATGAAGGGTCAATCGGTGATGTGAACTTTCTCTAGCATTTGTCTCAACCCTGGAGAAGCGAGTAGCTATGCTAATGAAATTAAATTCATGTCCTCCACCCCGTACCTTCTCTTTGTCTTGGCCCCTATGGTTTTGCTGATGTCACCAAGCTATTAGTCATCGAGAATATAAAAACTTGCAAACTATTCTCTGTTGCCCGCCTCCCTGACATGAAATTTATTGCCAAGTTCTGCTGATTCTACCCCAGTGGAGTAACTTCCCACCTGTCCACATTTCCCATTATCGGTGCCTCTCACCTAGATATCGCGAAAGCTTCCTAACTAATGCTCCAACCTCCTTTCCCCTGTCCCCGTCCCCCTGTCTCTCTCCCCTGGCACTGTAACACCAGGCCATCATTTGTAAGGCACAGAAGGGATTATGACATCCTGTTCAAACCACATAGCTCTCAAAATGAAGTCCAAACTCATCACTGAGGCAATAACCTGACCATAAACTATTTCCAGTCTCATTTGGACTGTTCTTTTGTCTGCTCTGTACTCTCTAAAAGTCAGCTAAACAAGCTATTCAGTGCTATTATAGAAAACTTGGGCTTTTCCAAGCTGTGTTGGATATAGATTGTTTGTTCCACCAAAAACAACCCCTGTCTTGTTCTTTATTTACAATGTCAAACACCCATCTACCGTGAAAACTCTATTCCTACCTCTTACCCCTGCACACCTAGACCAGAATGGATTACTTCTCCCTGGACATCTCATAGCCTGTTATTCTCTTTGTGAAAAGATTCCCTGAACTGGTGACCCCACCACCCTCCTGCTCTGGACTGTGAGCTCCCTGAGAGCAGAGGTCTCATTTTCACCAATGTGCATCCACTCAGCTAGAATTCAGTAAGTACTGAGATGCTCATGAGGGAAGAGGAAAGGCACAGTGAGTCCTCTGATGGCCCTCCTGTTACCACAGTGTCTCCCACAGGTTCTATGGGTACCAGCCCATGTCTGTCCTAGCCATGAACCCACCCAGACCTGCTCAGTAACTCAGCTCTGTCCCGATGCTTGGAGATAAAACACAGTTTAATCCTTAGATTTCCTTTCAGAGATCTAGGGATGCCCCTACAGCAGTACTTTCCCTTTCCCAGAGCATTTTCCTAAAGCCAAACCAGAGCAAGCACGCCAACCTGCGTGCAAGAAAAGGCGGCTGAAGAAACTGAAGCTCTATTAAGAAGCATGCCCTCCATCTAATAAAAGCCAGCAGGCAGCGGGTCCTTTGGCCCAACGCGAGACAAAGGCACCTACTTGGGCGCCCCTAGTGGCAGATCCTGGGAAGGTACTTAACCCTGCTGAGTTTCAGCGCCCCCTTCACCAGTAAATTAAAATACGCGTTGGTGTACTTGGGTAACCAATGCCAGGCAAGTGTCATTTGCTTTTTACCTTTTCGTGCTGAGCCTGTTGAGTGTGCTGTCGAGGTCCACACGGAGTCAAAGAGCCAGCTTTAGAGTTAACACCTGGCTACACCGCCATCCTCCGTGTCTCCATTCTTTTCTCCCTCAAGCAGCTGGGGATTTAGCTCAGTGGCATAAGCGCCTGCCTGGCAAGTAAGAGGTTGTGAGTTTGATCCTAGGTACCAAAGAGAGAGAGAGAGAGAGAGAGAGAGAGAGAGAGAGAGAGAGAGAGAGAGAGAGAGAGAGAGAGAGAAAAGAGAAATAACAAAGCTGCTTATTGTGCAAATACAGCCTGTGCTTCTCCACGAGCTCCAATCACAGAGCCCTTGATCTCTGGTTTACTGTGGTGTTCATCCCTTGGGGGTCATATGGCTGCCAGCCAATCATTTTAAGACCCGTGCTACGTGACTGCAGGTGGCTTACGCAGCCGCAAAGTATTTTCTGCTCTGGGAATATGAAACAGAGACAAGCTAACTGACTTGTTCAGGGAAGCCAAAGATGATTAGTTTGGGGGAATTTTACATGTTGCAAGGTGGTTTCCAATCCCCAGATCAAAGCCTAAAAATATGGCTGATTAGGAGAGGTCTAGTATCATGTAATATTTGTATATAATATTTTATGGACAGGATGAGGAATATTTGTCACCAAGAATGGCAAGATTGTTTCTATAAACAGGATTAAAGGGTTTCATATTGCTAGGCACAGGGGTTAGTGACATGGGACACTGTGCCCCTTTCCCTCCCCTCCCCTCCCCTCCCCTCCCCTCCCCTCCCCTTCCCTCCCCTTCCCTTCCCTTCCCTTCCCTTCCCTTCCCTTCCCTTCCCTTCCCTTCCCTCTCTTCCTTTCCCTTGCTTTCCCAGGGAAAAGGCAAGTATGGTGGGTTTCCTGCATGCTCCAGGGTAAGTGGCCTGTAATCACAATGGGTGGCTGGTCTTGGTGTCCACTTGTGTCAAAAATATGTCAGTTCGGTGCACTATAACTTTTTACTTTGTGCTTCCTTGTCCTAGGCCTCCAGAGAATAAAGTACATGACTATAAAGGGTTGTGAAAAATATGTGAGGTTGTGTCAGAATCATAGGAATCTCAGCATACAACTTGTATTTTTCAAACAAGAAAATGGAAGCCAGGTGTGGTGGCACATGCTTGTAATCCCAGCATTCCAGAGGCTGGGGCGGGAGCACCATAAATACAAAGCCAGCCTGGATTACATAGTGAGACCCTGTTTCAAAAAAAAGGATTCTTCTCAGCTGAGGCCAGAATAGCAACCAAGTGTTTTGTGTAGGAGGTCTGAGTGGAGGGCTCATGGCTGAGGCTTGAATTCAGGAACTTCACTATATCTTACTTTTTAGTTTATTTAGTTCACAGTTTGTAGAGGTCTCAGTTCACAGTTGGCTGGCTCCAAGGCAGAGCAGCTTTGAGAGGAGAAACAGCTCATGGTGCACAGTGAAGAAGCCAAGTGACAAGCAGCAATCCACAACCGTGAGCAGAGACCCTCTTTCTGTCCCCTATATCCTATTCAGGCTACACACTCAGGGTGGGTACCACTCACACCCAAGGTGGGGCAGCCCTAATCCTAGCATCACATCCTGAATCAACTCCAGCATCCCATTTTGATCCCAGCAGATACAACCTAGATCCAACCATCCCTGAAAAGCCGCACCAATGACTACATGAGGCTTTAAGAGGACACCTAGGTACAAACCATAACATACTGAGTTATAGTCTGAGCCTTCTTTCATTGTTTTATTTTGAGACAGGATCTTGCTAAGTTGCTGAGTTGTCCAGGCTGAGCTTGAACTTGAAATCTGCCTGCATCAGCCTCCCAGAGTCTTGAGATTATAGGAATGCATCACCATACTCAGCAGACAATTGCTATTTGTTGAAGTGAGAATTGATTTCTTTCATCTTCCTGAAAGTCCACTGTACCATTTTACTTGCATGAATCAGCTTGTTTGAATTCTTTTATAGGTACTCAGAAAAAAAAAATAGGCAAGAGAATATGAGGCCATGATGTGTGTCTAAAAGACTTGTGTTATCTTTCTGTTCTCTGTGTATCCGATGAAGTTCCAGTATCTGGAAACTGACCAGCAAATAAAAAAAAAAAAAAACAAACAAACACATTTATAACCGAGGCATACCCATTGTTCTTGTTACTATCAGTATTTTTATTTAATGTCCTGGACCTCAAAGAAAAGTGCCTTGAGGGGGGTGGGAAAGAGGAGAGGAGGAATGGTAACATGACCTGCTCTTTGCAATGAACACAAAAGCACAGATCACGTTCCAAATTTTCCATGATTTCAGAACATCAGTGCAGACACGCCTTTAAAAGACACATTGGAGAGGAGAAAAACTGGCCAGGTTCCTGAATCCAATCGGACCGGTGATGCTGGAGATCAAAGGCCTGTGCGTATTGGACCAAGGACAGGGGGTGAAGCGGCATCTTCTGGGTTGCTGGAAATGAGCCAACTCAACCACACTGAGCAAAAGCAAACTGAAAGTAAATATGAGTGAATAATTGAATGCATTTGGGGTGGGGGTTCTCCTCTCAAAATGCAAAGCCTAACATTCTCCAAGGGGACATTTTAGGTCAACAGGTTTGTGCAACTGCAAAATGTCCCCTTGGCAGCCTGGAGTCTGAACCTCTGCTTGGTACTGAAAAAAACAGGAAAGTTGATTTCTGTCCTGGTAGTCACCATCCTCCATGTCTTCTTCCAGCTCCATAGCCACCTTCTACCCAGCAAATCAGTTAATCTTATTTCTAAGAAAAATGATTTTTTAAAAAAAATTTTTGGGAGAATTCCTTCCATACCATTAAGTTTCCAGCTCTGGTCTGTGATGCCTTGGATAGCCACAGAGGTGTGATTTTCTAATACACCATCATTTCCTTGCATAGGAAGAAGGTTCACATAGGTACCAAACAGCATTTTTACCAGGAATTCTTTTATAACTTGCATATTACAGTGTTACAGCCCCTCTCACTTTCACAGCTTCCCAAACCCCACACTTTCAGGAATATAGAAAAAGAATCTTACAAAGGGATTATTGACTGTAGGTCCACATGATTACAGACGTGTGGTGTCAGAATTGGAGCTTCAGATTGGAAAAAACGTGGGAAATGAATGCCTCAATAAGCATAGGAAAGAAAATAAAAACAAAGCAAGGTATTCTTTTTTACATTTCATCTCTTCTTTAAAAACTATAGACTACAGTCTCATAGAGAGGAGCATTTAAAGGATTTCCTTTCACCAAATTGTCTCCGGTCCCTTAATTGTACTATTTAAGCCTCGCTGAGTACTTTGTTTACGGTCCCTAGTGCCGGGCTGCGTCTCCCTCTGGCTTGCAGGGCTGGCAGCTGTCTCAGTCTCATTCTGGCGGAGAAAGGTAAGGATCTTTTCCTTGCTGTTTGAAAGATCTGGGAGAGAAAGGCAGACTGCCGTCAGGGGTTGGAGGTAGGGAGGACTGATATCATTCATGCATTTGAGGTTCTCAGAAAAGTTCTCCAAACTTAAAGGAGTCTCTTGGAAACCCTGAGCTAAAAGAAAAAGAGCCGGCGAGATTTCCTCTCTCTGGTGAAGAGAGAGTTGGCAGAATGTGGGCTGGTTGCATTTTGGATGAAATTCTGCTGTGGGGACAGGTGTCCCTGCAGGGATCCCCCGCCGTGTTTAATCCTTCTCAGGGACAGGGTGCAGGAAAGAATAAACTCTTAACAGGCTTTAGGCAGAGATCTCTGAATTTCATTGAAGATGTAGTTTCTTCAAGTCGTGTTTGACAGGAGTTACCCTGAAAGGCATCAGTTCTTCTGATACCACTTCAGCTAGACCCCAAAGCTTCCTATTTCATGGAATTCATCAATCCGAATCGATTATCTGCTTGGAGTCTGGGGAAGTGTGTTTGCATATTCAGGCAGGGAGATGGCACTGGCCGTGTGGATGGAGGGCAGCGGGTCACCTGGAGCCTGAGAAGGCAGAAGCTTGTTATCTATCAGCAATTACTGTAAACCTGCCTGTGGCCCCAGGGCACAGAGGCACTCACTGACATTCGGTGTGGACTAAGCCTAGGTCACCAAGGGAAAAGGTGTTGCCAGCCTCCAGAAGCTTCATGTGCTTTGGCTTTAGTAACAGAAGCATGGCTGAGAGGTGGTCCTGGGGATGGAACCAGGGTGCTCTACCCCTGAGCTATATTCCCAACCTTTTTAAAAATTATTTTTAATTTTGAGACAAAGTCTCCTTAACTTGCCCAGGCTGGTCTCACACGTGTGATCCTCTTGCCTCAGCCTCCTGAGTGTGCACCACTGACCTCAGAAGGAAGCATAATCTTTAACAGCATAAGGTGGTGCTCAGAGCTTCCTTGGTGTGTCTGTCTGTCTGTCTGTCTGTCTTTCTTTCTTTTTCTTTCCTTCTGCCTCCTTTGTATTCCCAGCATGTGGACTACTAAGGGAAGATTGTGGGTTTGTGAGTTTGAAGTCAGCCTGGGCTACATAGTGAGTTTAAGGCTGGCACAGACTGCACAGTGATACTGTGCCTCAAAAAAACCCCCAAAATCCCCAAAGGTGCCCATTGTCAGGTCCGCTGCTCTCCTAAGAACCTCGATCGCTTAGCCCCTTCTCTCCCATCTTCTATCTTCCAAGAACACTTTTTCAGGTTCTTAAATGCACTGGTTCTAAGTGAATCTGACTCTGGTCTTCAAGGTCCAGTGATGCACTCCTTGTCCAAGGTGCCTCTGTCCTCTTAGGTCCCGGGTTTTAAAACCACGATGACAGAGGCCACGGCTACCTCAGTGTGCTGGGCTCGCCTGACTCAGCCAGGCCTCAGACTTTTCATCTTTAGCTTCTGAAACAAAAAAGCCCTCTTCTGGCTTCTGTTCTGGGGGAAAGGACTTGTACCTCTCCCTTTGTAGCAGTATCAGGGCATTGTTACTAGACAAGCCTGGGAAGAGTGGGGCATCACAGAGAAGGTGAGACATCTGAGAACATCCCAGCTCTCCCAGCAGCGGGAAAAATCTGACAGTTGCAGAGAAAGGTAAAAATATGAACCTCTTCCAAGAGTTAATGTGAATTGTAGGTTCAAAATATATTACAAGGAGTTAGTAACACTTGTGCAGATTTTAAACATGGGCATTGGGGCTAGGAATTTAGCTTAGTGGCTCAAGCACTTGCCTAGTAAGTGTGAGTTCAAGAGTTCATTCCCTGGTACCAAAAAAATAAATAAATAAAAATAAAAAAATTTTAAAAATGGATGACGGATAATTTTCAGCTATAGAAGCATAGGGATGAGTTTCTACTAGTCTCCCTGTATTATCTCCATTTTTTTTTCTCAAGAGATGCTCTGAGGCCTTATGTATTTCAAGTACTTTAAAATTTCAAATGCCTGTCTTATAGCATAACCCTAGGAGGCCCTGTATAGCTGCCAGAATAGACTTCTTTAATTTTTTTTTGTTTGTTTGTTTTTTACTTTTTAGTTGTGCTGAAGATCAAACCCAGGGCCTTAAACACTATTGAGCTATACCGCTAGCCTGGAGCAGACTTAATTTTACTAATTGAGAATAGAAGATGTCAAGTCACACGTTTGGGTGTTTTAAAATATGTCACTCCTTAAAGTGGGCCAGAAACATCTAGGTGTAGGCGTAGGCCTACTGAACCAGAATCGACATTTAGATTTATGGATGTATTAATGGCGGGGGTTCAAACCTAGATTTTTTGTTTTTTTGGTTTTTTTCTTCCTGTATGGTCTTTCTCCAGTCACTTAACCTCTCTGAGTCATCATTTCCTCACTAATAAACTAATGAAAATTAATGATCATGTGCAGTGTTTCTTAGTATTAAACCATGCCCATCAGAGGTGCTCTTTAAATGGAGGCGATATTGGTGAAGACCAGGATGACGATTTCAGAGTTGCCAAATTTACTGCATCCTGGCTCGCATAATAAGCAATCTTGCTTAAATTAAACCAACCAGTTTCCTCCCTTAACCACCAACATTAGCCTTTCCCACTCTCATTCCTAAATGAATGAACATCAAACGAGGGTGGGGTGCGTGATAAGCTTCAGAGGATCACACAGAGGAGACCTAGGAATGTGGGTTTTTTTGCTGATTTCAGCTGCTCATTGACGTCAAGGCTGTTTCTGTGCCTCCCCAGAGCGTCTGTCCCTAAGCTCTGTCCCCTCTGCTGGGTCTGCATCGCTGACTCTGGGATTCTCTGCTAAAAATGCCTTCTGGGCAGTAGGAGGGAGGTCTGGAGGTTGGCTGGGGAAAAAATGAGTAATTCAGAGCAGCCTGCTTCATGAATGCTGCAAGAGAAATAAAAGTAAAAGCTGGCTCGGGTCTCTGGGGACTCTAGAAATGATCCTGACTTATCATGTCACCAAGCAGCGTAGGGGGAAGCCAGGACTGGAAGTCTATCTGCAGGGAAAAGAACCGGGGGCAGGGAGGTTAGGGAGGGGCAGACCAGAGGGGGAGGGAATAAAAAGAAAGAGAGGAAAAGACAAGCCTCATTGAGGGGAAGAGGTAGCCTGAAGGAAGAGTCCTCCAGGATTCAAATCCAGACCTACAGCAAAGTTTATACATACACATATCTATATTTCTTTTCCCCAGAGGAAATCCCTGCTTGACCTGTCATTTTCCTGATCCCACCGCTATGACAGGCTCTTTCTTTCTCAGAAGTTAAAGGAAGACACGCAACTCTGACTGATTCTTCCCTCTAACGTCAGAGGTTTCCCTGGGAATGGGCAGCCTCTCCTCAAGGTATGTGTAAATTGTTTGGGGGCAGATCTTTCCAGCTTAGCACAACTGCAGCTTTGGGAAAAAATTTTTTTTTAGTCTCCAGAAAGGATATCAAATATCTGCTAATTGGCCTAGCAACATTTATGTTGTCACTGAACAGTGAATTAATCTAGTGATTAGAACTTAAAAGCGTGCAGGCAGCTCTAAGGTTTTCATTGCTCAGAGAGTGATATTTTGACTTCCCAAGGCTGAAAAGAACCCGCGAGATTTGAATGGGGAGGTTGCATGAATTTTCATTTGATGCTTAATATATTCAACAGATAAATCTCACTAAAAACACCTCTTGGTGTCTTCCTGGAAACTCTGGGTTACTGTGACCCCCTCAGCTTCTCTAGGATGCGAGACGATGGCTTCACGTGTGTGATCAGAGACAAAATTTTTCATCAATTTCTCATAGGAGCATTTTAGCCAGATGCTTTTGATCAAGTTTTTTCCTGAAGTTTTCAGGCTCAAAATATTTAGAAAGGCATTAGTTGTATTCGTACATAAGCACATGGCAAAAGAAGAAATGTCAAATTTGGCTATCTAGCATGCTGGTTTAAACACAACATTGCATACAGAACATCAAAATTCCTTGCTGAATTTGAGGCAGAATTTGTAAATTGAAAGCTAAGAGTCGATTTTAATCATTACTTGGAAAATGAACACAGAATTATATCCCATGAATTGTTGGATTTTTTTTCCCCTTTTCAGATGGATAGGAGGATGATGCCACATTTCTGATTACAAATCCTTACCTCATTGATTGTTTTTATTTGTTTGTTTGTTTTTTGGTTGAACTGCCTATCTGCCCTTAGGGGAAGGGTTTTAAAGATATGGGCACAAACTGTACTGTGTTTAGTAGTGACACAGTGAAGACCCGTGGGCAGTCAGGTGATGGAGAAGAGCATCGTATGTGTGCTGGCAACTGGTCTTGACATTGATTTTGTTAGCAGGGAATGGGTGACAGTTTGGAAAGAATGTGTGTTATGCCCGGCAAAATTGGCAACGTTTAAATTGCTATGAGTTATGGAACGAACTGTTTTATGATGTACTCTCCTCCTAAATGAGACTGTCTTTGGAGTCACATCCAGGCTTTTCTGAGTTTAGGGAAAAGAGAAGCAATGAACAAAATGAAAAAGCTTATTGAAAAATGAAAAAGCTTATTTAAAAAACTTGTAGACTGCCAGAGAATATTAAAACACTGAAAAGCGCTTTCTGCTTTTAATATCTGTCCCATTTTTTTTGTTTCTCGGCTTTTTCTTGTTTTTGTTTTGTTTTTGCCAAATGCAAAGAGAATGCAACCAATCTGAAAAAAAGCCAAGTTGATTTTCACATGCAGGGATGCTCCAGGAAAGGAGGGGCTTACTGTCTTCCACAGGAGGGCTCATTCTCATGCAGTTCGCTGATACTGTTTCCTGTCTTCTCCAGAGTTTCCACCCTGGTGAGATCCTCGAGCTCTAGGCTGTGAACCCAGCTAGGAAAACCACTGTAAACATGACTGAAGAGCCTGCCAAAGAGAGCCCGGGAGCCCCGAAATCCGTCACACCAGTGCCAATGGAGAAAACCCCCCAAAACGAAGTGGTGGTCACCACAGTTCCTCTGGTCAGCGAGGGTCAGCTGATGGCTGCAACAGGGGGCGCAGAGCTCTCCTGCTATCGCTGCGTCATCCCCTTCGCCGTGGTGGTCTTCATCACTGGGATAGTGGTCACCGCGGTGGCTTACAGCTTCAATTCCCACGGCTCCATTATCTCCATCCTGGGCCTGGTTCTTCTCTCCTTGGGACTCTTCCTGTTAGCCTCCAGTGCCTTGTGCTGGAAGGTGAGACAAAGGGGCAAGATAGCCAAGCGAAGAGAGAGTCAGACGGCTCTGGTGGTCAATCAGAGAAGCTTGTTCGCTTAAGACAGAAGGAGACCAAATGGGACGTGGGGCCTGAAATCACCTGCTCTGACTTGCTTGGCCCATTCATTCATCCTGGGCCTGGTTCTTCTCTCCTTGGAACCATCCAGGGAGGGAATGGCCCTGGCTTTGGGGCAGACTAGAAAAACAGAGGTGGGTGAAGCAGGAGGCTCCATGGAGTCTTTGTTTGTGAGGAGTGACCTGTTTCCTTTAATGTCTTCTTTGTGAATGACTTCTTTAATGACAAACTTATTCCTAAGGGCTATTTACTAAGATGGAAGAAACAGCTTTCTCTTTGCGTTGAACACTTTGGTGGGAGGCACAGGCGATACACAGCACTAGACAGCCTTTGGTTCCCTTGGAAAGCAGTCAAGGAAGGATGAGAAAATAATGAGAGAGCGCTGGCACGGCAAACTGGGTGTCCTGGAGCGATGATTCACACTCCTTAAGACACTGTAAATGAGAGAAAGGTCTACGTCGCCTTGGACTTCACATCCACATAGCACATTCTGTGACAATGTTTTTTCCATATGTTGGTTCTTTGGTGTTTCATTTTTCACTCTCAGTAAGTCATCACTGGTGGTACTTTACCTTGCAAAATAAACTAATATTTTTTTATATTGTAACATTGGACAGTTGTAGGTGATTACAAGGATGGATCAGAAGTAAAATAAAAAGTATAGCTACTAGATGATGTGGGGGGTTAAATTAATATTAAAATAATCCTGTATAGCACTTTTGATGATTTTTATATAAAAATTCAATGTACATCTTATGCAGAATAATAAATACTCATTGCTGCTGAAATTTTAAAAATGGTGTTTGTTTGATTTTTATGGCAGTCTCAAATTGTCCATCTTCCCTGTTTTCATTTGTGAAATACTGTTTTTTTTTTCTCAAATGGACATTTTGCTTCTTAACTACATTAGAAGATTTTTAAAAAATTTCTTTGTTATGAAGAATAGTACTATTACACTTACTTACGTGTTAAGTGTTTCTATGTCATTATAGTTAGGAAATCAATGCCTGAAGTAAAAAATTTTATGCTGTCCTGGGTAGTGTGAATCGCATTATTCCTGAATTAATCACTAATTATCTGCTCAGCACAGGTTTCTGTGTGCCAGGTATAGGCCAGGCATTGTGTAGTTTTGCAGGCTGCTTGCTGTATGGGCTCAAACACTGTATAAATAAAGTTATCGTTTGAATTCGTCTGTGGATAGTGAACTGTCCCACAATGAGGACGCTACCCCACACTTCCAACCAGAAATATTACTCATTCTCATAGTTTAAACCACATTAGGCCAGTACGAGAAAATAGGCACAAATACTTAAAAGCTTGGTTAAAAAATAATAAAGCCTAGCCTAGTACGTTCCTTGAAAAGCCTTCTCCTCGGGAGTTGCATTGAGAAATTTAATTAAATATGGCAGAAATCCTTTGGCACAAGGGCTCTCCAGTGCTTGTGTAGCTTTGATAAATGGAAACGCCTTAGCGGTGTTGGAGGCGGTCAAAGTCCTTCCCAGCCGAGGAGAAACAGTGGAACTGTGCTCATTCAATGGCTGGGGAGAAGGGTGAGTTTGACACAGTTCTTTCCACCCTAAGAGAATCAATCTCCTGGTTGCTGTATGAAGAAAATTCACAGGCAAGGTTCAAGGTTCTCCTGTCTGCTCCAAACAGATGTATCAGCTTTCACTCTCACTCTGTCTCCCAAGCTCCTACTGGGCTGGCCAGACTATTTACCACTCCTGTAAGCTGGCTCTCTTGCCTTTGTGTCTGCCCAAAGTTCTCTTTTCCCTCTCCTATAATGATAACACCGTCTTTTCTCCCACCTCAGCCCTCTCCAGTCCTCCTGCTTCACATCACCACTTTGGATCCGATGCCACCGCCTCCTGGAAGCCTCCCTTGATCTGAGTAACTGCTCTGCCACCAGTTGCTATCTCTTTGTTCTCTGGTGAGGCCATTCACTTTTTCACCCCCAAATTTTCTTAGAAATGTGGAATGTCTTTTTTGTAACTCTAATGTGACACCTAACGTTATGTCGATTAAGGAATATAGCATGTACCTAAATCGAGGTACTAAAGTGAACTTAATGAAAACTCAGAAAGTGTCCTTTGGTGCTGAGGACCACACATATATTTACTTATTCGGTGCTGAGGATGGGATCCAAGTCCTCATACTTGCTAGGTAAGCACTTCACCACTGAGTTAAATCCTCCTCAACCCCTAACAATCTTGTTTGACTGAGAAATTTCCCCCAAATAGATCACTGCACTCCATCTGCCTCTAGTATAAGTACTAGGTCTAGACCAGTATTTAGTAGCTTTGTGCCTTCAGCCCACCCTCCTGCCCACCCAAACTCTTAAAAGCAAACACTTGAATTATTTCCGGCCACCAGGGGGCCTCATACTGCAACCTGAACCCTGAAAGAAATAATGTGGAAAGAATTATATGCAAGGACTAAAATGGGATCATATCTGGAGATAACAATGTCTCTTCTAGCTGTGAGGAGTTAGAGGACATTCTCTTATTTCTCAACTCCATAAATCGCCTAACAGTGGCTGCCTCAGGGTCCCGTATGGCCAGGATTTGCCCTTTCTGGGGAGCCTCCCTGCCGTCTCCTTCAAAGCTGTACACCTCTGCCGAGTTGTAAGGCCTGAGGATAATCCACAAATTGTGAATGACAACTCCCCTGAGGAAAATAGACTAGACTTGAATTGCAATCACAGTTATCCTGTGTCATATCCCCACTGAGTAAAGGGCAGCTTCACAAATGCTTCTGTTCCATGCAGAAGAGAGTTAAAGGTGCGCATAGGTATTATGTATGCAGAAATATACTAAAAAGATCACTTGATTTCATCCCTAAACACCAGAAAACAGCTACACCCAGGGCACACTTGCCTCCCCCGCCCACACACAGCAGAGTGCACAGGAGAAACATCTAACTTAACCTGCACAGGGGGCTTCAAAGACAGATGTCTGGATGCTCTTCCCCCCACCCCTGCCGCCTTACTGTCTTGCTAATCTAGGGAATCTTTCCTAGTGAAAGTGTTCAAGGAGATCATGTCATCGTTTCATCCCACTCATTCAGAGAAAGAAAGAGAGAGAGAAGGAGGAGGAGAAATAGGAAAGGGGAGGAAGAGAACGAGGAGGGGGAGAAGGAGAAGAGGAGGGAGTGGGGGAGAGGAAGAGAAAAAAGGGGAGAGGGGAAGGGAGGGAGAAGGAGAAAAGGAGAAAGGGAACGGGATGACAGACGAGGAGGAGGAGGAGGAAGAGGATAAGTAGGCAGATGATAGATACATAGGTTAAAAGACAGGATTCCTGCCAAAATTATGGCATTGAGCGCTGAAGATGTTATTACAATGCCAATCCTCCTGTTAAATTACCAGATGATCTTGAGAAGTTAAGCCTCATCACTGAAATAAGATTAAAGATATGATTTCAATTTTATAAACTAACAAGTACTACAAAGTTGCAAAATTACTATTAGTAATAACATGTAGTGTTGACTTTGGCTTCTTTCTCCACTGAATGTCCCCACACACAGTTAAACATCAGGCTGCCCTCTGTTTTGATTAAGTGGCTGTTACAGTCACTTTGTTTAATTTCTACATTATCCACAGACTTTCTCAGCCCAGAATAATCTGGGGAAAGCGGCTGTCCCAGAGTTGAATAATAACTCAGGTTTTTAAATGTTATTCTAATCTTCAGCATTTCCCCATATAGTGGAGTCTACATACAGGAATACTCTATTTATAATGAGAGTGCAACCATGTACCCTCTACAAAAGAAATATAAAGAAGAAAATTCTCCCTGCCTCACCTTTTCTTTCCTCCACTGGCTGGCCTTCAGAAAAGAGGACCGTGGTATGAATCTACAGAGAAATGAAAGTGATAATTCCATAGTTCCTGCCATTTGAGTTTCCCAAGGCCTGCATTCCCATGATTTAAGGTCTGTTGAAAGAATTTCAGTGGGTTACTTAGTTACACTTGACTTTTACATTATTCCCTAATTCCAGTACTTGATCTTATATATATCAGGGCTAAATTGCATATAATATTGGTTGATGCTCCCCACCATATTCTAGGCCTAAGAGTATATGTGTCTTCTCTGCTTTGCAGTTGAGGATATTGTAGTATCAGAGAGGTTAAGTGATTTGTTTGATTAAGATCTCCTAGCAAGCAAGATCTAGTCCTGGGACAAATTATTTGACTAGGCAGAGTTATTCCTATGTCTCAGGCTTTTCAAGCTGCTGTAACAAACTACCAAAGACGGGTGGTTTTATAAACATCACGAGTGTATGTCTTACAATTCTAGCAGAGATCAAGTTGCTAGTGGATGCAGTGTCTGGTGAGATTGCATGGCTTTGTATCTAGACAGCGCCTTCCTTCTATGTCCTCCCAAAGTAAAAAAGACCAACATGTTTTCTGAGGTTACTAATCCCAATCAGAAAGACTTCACACTCCACATCCAATCACCTTCCTGAAGCACGATTGCCTAATACCACCTCCTCAGGGTTAGATACGAATTTGGGGATGGCACAAACATACAGTCTGTAGCACACAGTTTTATGCTTTGTCATAACTGAAATCATTTCCAGAATGTCTCTTTAATGAAAATGTCCTTTCACCTATTTTCAAAAATCTCTTATTGATGACAATAGACATATCACATGTATATAGCTCAATGCATTTCCACACACCAACCTGTAGAATGGACAGCTGCTCCAAAGACGAGTAACGCTAAATACTGCCAGTACCCCAAACCTCTCTTCATGTATGGTTTTAAGCATTCTCTCTTTCAGAGCAACCACTATCCTGTCCTCTAGTTTAGCTGTTCTTTAACTTTGTGTAAATGCAATAATATAGTGTATGCTCTTTGTGGCTGGCCTTTTCTCTGTAACATTTATGAACATGCTTCCAGTATTATTGGATGTGGTTATCAATGGTTCATTTTCATTGTGTAGAAGTTCCATGAGCAGGTATGTGGTCATTTTCTCATCGTTTCTGTTATTGATAAGCAATCAGTAGTTTCTAGTTTCTGGCAGCAAAGATAGTGCTTTTGTAACCTCTGATAGGACCCCCAAAGATCCTTGATCCTTGGTATCTGCACACTTATCATGTCATGAGCACACTCAGGCATTAAGGGAGAGATACACATGGAAAGGAACTATGGCCTTCCAGCCAATGGCCTTGTTATGGCTGGTACATTTTGTCAATTTCAGAAGTTTAGAAGTTTAAGAGACTCATCAGGTAACCAGGACTCTTATTTTGTGAATATCCTCATCCTGTGCAAGAGGAGAGCACAGAGATTTTGTGAGTGCTACACCTACCCTGGAGTGGGAGGTGGCCTGTGTCTAGGCCCCATGAGGTTTCGGAATGGTGGCAGCATAGAGAATTTGTTCCTCATAATCAGGTTCAGAGTGCCCAGTGATTCAAGCGCTCGACTCCTATAGCCAAGATAGAGGAAACCCTGGCTACTGCTCCAGCTGGCGGCAGACCTTAGCAGCATCCCCCTGTTGCTGGTTTTAGGTGCATAGAGAATGCGTGAGTTCTGAGGTGAAAAGGCTTCTACTTTAATTTCAAAAGGCCTGGGGCCCACACAATGTGCCCCTGAGAGGGTGGTATGTAAAGCTGTGCATGTGAGGCCAAAGGTGCAATGGAGAACCCAGAAGTTTAAAAAAGCCAGGAGCATGGATCATCTAAGGAAAGCTGCAAAGAGTGAGCAGAGTGGGCCTAAGAGAGAAGCTGTGGTATCAGTAAGGACCAGAAGTGCCATAGGGCTGGAGTCACACAAGCCTTTTGGAGCATGCAATTTGCCAT